TGCAGGTGTTCCACGTGGAGGGGGAGGTGAAGGACATTAACGACAACCCGCCGGTGTTCCCGAGAACACAAAAGAACCTGTACATCGCGGAATCCAGGCTGCTTGACTCCCGGGTTCCGCTAGAGGGCGCCTCGGACGCAGATATCGGGGCGAACGCTCTGCTGACGTACAGACTGAGCCCCAATGAGTATTTCGCGCTGGAAAAACCTTCCAAAGGCGAACAGGTAAAACGGCTTGGACTTGTATTAAGGAAACTTTTAGACAGGGAAGAAGCTCCAGAGATTTTTTTAGTGCTCACGGCCACTGATGGTGGCAAACCTGAGCTGACGGGCACCATTCAGTTACACATCACAGTGCTGGACGCCAATGACAACGCCCCAGCTTTCGACAGAACACTCTATGTAGTGAAATTACCAGAAAATGTTCCCAATGGGACGTTGGTAATTAAACTCAATGCTTCAGATTTAGACGAAGGCTTAAATGGAGATATTATTTATTCATTATCAACTGATATTTTACCAAACGTGAAATCCAAGTTCCACATAGATTCGGTTACTGGAGAAATTATGGTAAAGGGACATATCGATTTTGAAGAAAGCAAATCCTATGAGATTTTTGTAGAGGGCATTGATAAGGGACAGCTTCCACTCTCTGGCCATTGTACAGTTATGGTGGAAGTGGAAGACACTAATGATAATGTCCCAGTAATGGAGTTCAAGTCCCTGTCACTCCCAATCAGAGAAGACGCTTCACTGGGCACCGTCATAGCCCTGATCAGGGTGTCTGACCTGGACTCTGGTGTCAACGGGCAGGTGACCTGCACCCTGTCGCCACACGTTCCCTTCAGGCTGGTGTCCACCTTCAAGAATTACTATTCGCTGGTGCTGGACAGCGCCCTGGACCGCGAGAGCGTGGCGAACTACGAGTTGGTGGTGACAGCGCGGGACGGGGGCTCGCCTTCTCTGTCGTCCACAGCCAGCGTGTCCGTGGAGGTGGCCGACGTGAACGACAACGCGCCGCTGTTCGCGCAGCCCGAGCACACGGTGTTCGTGAAGGAGAACAACCCGCCCGGCGGCCACATCTTCACGGTGTCGGCGCGGGACGCGGACGCGCAGGAGAACGCGCGGGTGTCCTACTCGCTGGTGGAGCGGCGGGTGGGCGAGCGCGCGCTGTCGAGCTACGTGTCGGTGCACGCGGAGAGCGGCCAGGTGTCCGCGCTGCAGCCGCTGGACCGCGAGGAGCTGGAGCTGCTGCAGTTCCAGGTGAGCGCGCGCGACGCGGGCGAGCCTCCTCTGGGCAGCACCGTGACGCTGCAGGTGTTCGTGCTGGACGAGAACGACCACGCGCCCGCGCTGCTGCCTCCGGCCCCGGGCGGCCCGGGCGGCGCTGTGAGCGAGCTGGTGTGGCGGTCGGTGGGCGCGGGCCAGGTGGTGGCGAAGGTGCGCGCGGTGGACGCGGACTCGGGCTACAACGCGTGGCTGTCGTACGAGCTGCTGCCGGCGGCGGGCGGTGCGCGCAGCCCGTTCCGCGTGGGGCTGTACACGGGCGAGATCAGCACGACGCGCGCCCTGGACGAGGCGGACTCTCCGCGGCAGCGCCTGCTGGTGCTGGTGAAGGACCACGGGGAGCCGGCGCTGGTGGCCACCGCCACTGTGCTGCTGTCGCTGGTGGACAGCGGCCAGATTGTCTGCTGGCTCTGCGAGCGCGGAGGCGGCGCTGGTGGACGTGAACGTGTACCTGATCATCGCCATCTGCGCGGTGTCCAGCCTGCTGGTGCTCACCCTGTTGCTCTACACAGCGCTGCGGTGCTCCGCGCAGCCCACGGAGGGCGCGTGCGGGCCGGGGAAGCCGGTGCTGGTGTGCTCCAGCGCCGTGGGGAGCTGGTCGTACTCCCAGCAGAGGCGGCAGAGGGTGTGCTCTGGGGAGGGGCCGCCCAAGACGGACCTCATGGCTTTCAGCCCCAGTGTACCTGACTCTGGGGACAAAGACCTGCAGCCAGCAACTGGGAATTCCCTCTCAAAGGTTAGTTTCTACAAATCTTTTTATTTAATCCCAATAATTTAATCTGAAGTTTCATTTTGTTTTCTTTTATAATTTATTCTTAATTTAAAAGACTTTTCAGAATCAAATTTCTCTGACTTAAATTTCTTTACTTCTTCTTAGGCATTTTAGTAAAATATTACAGAATTACAGGGCACCAAGGCATACATATAACCATAGTTATTAACTCTGTGTATACTATCTTCCACTTACTTGTTATCAGTTGGAATTAACTTTCTAGAGAGCATTTTCTTGTTATTTGCCCATAATTGAAATGTGTACAGACAGAATTATATTGGCCAATTAATTATTTGAAAGTGAAACTTCTTTTAACTCTAATCCAGAAGCCACTCAAATACATCTCCCAAACACCTTTTTTTTTCTTTCCCAAATGCAACCATGGTTTTAGCTCTATAACTTAGGTTAATTTTGACCCATTTCCTGAACTTTAAATGGAATTGTGCAAAATGTATTATGTGTGTGCCTATGTGGATGTGTTCCTCATATTTATCATTCATCATTCTGTGGAAAAATACATATTGCCATATTGGTTAGAGTTCATTTATTTTATCTCTTGTGGTTTGTTTTATGAACACAGTATGAGTGGTTCCACTCTGAAGATTTTGCATTCTCTCTTTTTTAAATTAAATCTTTATTGTTCAGATTATTACAGTTATTCCTCTTCCCCCCCATAACTCCCCTCCACCCAGTTCCCACCCCACCCGCCTCCTCACTCCCCACCCACTGTCCTCATCCATAGGTGCGCGATTTTTGTCCAGTCTCTTCCCACCTCTCCCACATCCCTTTCCCCCACAAGAATAGTCAGTCCATTCCCTTTCTATGTCCCTGATTCTATTATGATCACCAAATTATTTATTCACTTGATTCTTAGATTCAATTGTTGATAGGGGCATGTTTGTTGTTCATAATTTGTATCTTTACCCTTTTCTTCTTCTTTTTCTTCTTAA